AGGTCAGTCGTCTTGTGGCATGACCTGCCTTCTGGGTTGTCTCATTTTTTGCTCACAGTCATTTAATTTGTTCCACTGTCGTCTGTTTTCAGTAATGAGAAGTTGGGGCTAAAGGTTCAGTTAGATCCAGGTTAAGCATTTTTGGCAGGGATCCCTTGTCAGTGATGGTCTGGCTTTGGGCTGCCTCACATCAGGAGGCATCTGTGTGTCAGACTGTCCTATGGTGAGTGAGGGGACATGGACCAGTGAGTGGCCTGGGCATCTGCTTATCTACGTCCTGTCTGCCCTCTCCCACTACCTCTCCACCGTGGTTCAGCATCCACTGGCTATCATTGCCTCTGGCATTTATTTTTTTAAGGGGTGCAGAGTGATTTGGCATTTGGCCATTCCTTTGTTATTTATTACCAAAAAATTGCCTGTGAAGAAGAGCTTTCCATCAACTACCAGGGCAATTCACTTATAAGAAAGGCCAAGAGACAGACTGAATTATTTTTCTTTAATTGCCAGTTTTCAGAGCAGAGTTAGGGCACTGCTACTGTCAGATTTGTTTATTTTGCTTTCTTTTTTTGTAATCTCTGTGAATGCTCTGGTTTTTTGTATTCCATCTGTTTCCATCAGTTGTGCTCATTATTCTTTTTGATGCCTACATTGCCCCAGCTCAGCCCACTGAAGGCTTCATGGGGTGTCTCATACTTATTTCCACACTGAGGCTACCCTGGGTTGCTGAATTGTTAGGGTGCCCTAAGATTCAAGCCAGGCCTGAATGGCAGGTTCAGATGGTAGTGCCCCTTCCTCCCATCTCCTCACCCCCCTCCACCCTCCACCATGGACCTCTGTTCTTTACATGGTCCTGATCAACCACCAGGATACATTTATCTTATGTGGTCCCCTATTTTTGCTCACCTCCAAGCATACTGTTGACTGACCTGCATATAGCTACACTGGGCATGTGACCTGAATAATGTGGCCCTAGGATCTACTCTTTGGGGTTAGCAATGCCAAACCTGACTTCTAAAAAATACCAATATATAAAGTTCCCCTTCTTTCCAGGATGTCGTTCCTGCCAATCTCAGGTGGGCTGGGTACATGAGTCCTGTGCTGGCACTTTGACATCTGGAACCTTAGCACATGAGACCAGGGTGTCAGGCAGGGGTATATATGGGTGTATGTGGGTGGTGGCAGAGGGGTTGGGCAGAGGCCCCTGTACCAGAGGATGTGGGCTGCTGAGAGCAGCAGGGTTTGTGTCCATCCTAAACAGAGCCCTCTGCTCTCCCCCAGCCATGGGCTCATGGGTGGGCCTGACCCCTGCCCTCCCCACCCCCGTCCTTCAGGCTCCTGCTGGTGTCTCTGGAGCATGGGAGGCTGCTGAGCTTGAGCAGTGGTGTCTGGCAGGAGCATCGTGTCTCACCCAGTGGCAGGGAGGGCGTCCATGGCTGCAGCCAACAAGGGTGAGTGCCTTCCTGCCTTGTGACTCTTCCAGTGGACCCTAGGGGTGGGGGCATTGTTTTGTGCTGGGCTGCTTCAGCCGTGTGTGTGTGTGTGTGTGTGTGTGTGTGTGTGTGTGTGTGTGTTGTCTCAGTGTCACTCAGAATATGCCAGTGTTTGTGCCAAGGACCTGGGATCACTCAAGCCTTGGCAGGGACCTCTGCGGGTTCCTTGCGTTGTTGTTCTGTGGAGGTGTATGCTTCTGTGTCTCTGTGTGCCAGCCCCATTCCACTGAGTGAGCTCCAAGACTTTGGAGGTAGCCAGAGCCACAGAAGGATGTGGAAGGAAACTTGGATTTCATTCAGTACCCAGAGGGCTGTTGGGGAGCTTTAGGCAAGGGAGACATGGTAAGGTTTGAGGGTCAGGTCTGTGGAGCTCAACAGGGACTGTGGATATGCCAGCCTGGTCCTGAGGGCTTCTTCTGAGTACTTAACAACCCAGGCCAAGGGTGTCCCCCCCCCCAAAAAAAAAAAAAGAAAAAGGACTCTAGATGGGGCTCTTGGGAGGCCTAAGAGCTGAAGGGTCAAAGAGGCCCGAGGTAATGTCCTGGCTTCCCCAGGCTGTGTCCATCCAGCCCTGGCCTTTGACTGGGTTTCCCACCACCTCTCCTGTCTCAACCCCCTTTCCTTTCTGGCTTTGGAGAATCTGACCCACAGGAGGCCCTGAGTTCAAACCCCAGTATCACACACACACACACAAAAAAAGAAGAGTTGAAGAATCTGACCCCAGCTCAGACACCTAGGGGCCTTGATGGTACTAAGAGGAGAAAAAGGTGGGAGTCTGAGAGGCTCCCCAGCTTCTTCCTCCTTTACTCTGCCAGTGATCAGTGAATCTTGTAGCAGCTGCTGCCTCTTCTGGGGGGCAGAATGGGTTTTTACCTCCTTCATTTTTTCCTCTCCAAGTATAACTCTAGAACCCATTCCCATCCATGTCTGTCCCCCTCTTTCCAGGTTGATTGGGGTTCTCAGGAAGTGCAGGCAGGGACCTCATGCTCTGACAGACCTGGGAGAGAAAGACCCAGGGATGGGCTGGTTGGCTGCATGACAGGGTCTGCAAAGGCCCAGGCCCAGCCCTGTACTACCTGACAATAGTGGAGGGTCTGGAGGACCATGTCTTCCTGTCTCTGGTGCCAGCCTTCTCCCTTCTGAGGGAGGGGTCATATCAGCCAATCCCTGAGTCCCCCAGATCCACATTGGAGGGGCACTTTTGTGGAAGATTGGACAGGTAGGGCAGAGTAGGGGGACCTCAGTCAAGCCTGATGATCACCAGTGTCCATCTAGGCCTAAAAGAAGCCTCCAGGTGGATGCTGGGTAATGTCAAGGTCAGACTGGGTAGTGAGGGAAACAAAGAATGTGGTTTCCTGAGGGTATGGGAAGCCAGCAGCCCCTGGGTCTCTCTCCTACTCTTCCCAGGCAACAAGCCCAGAGTCCGAAGTATTCGCTTTGCAGCAGGCCATGATGCAGAAGGCTCACAGAGCCACGTCCACTTTGATGAGAAGCTGCACGACTCAGTGGTCATGGTCACTCAGGAGAGTGACAGCAGCTTTCTGGTCAAGGTATGTGTGCTCCTTCCTCATCATCAACTCTCTCTCTCCACCTCTTCCTGTTTCTGCCTGACTTCCTGGGCCTGTCTGCTTCCTTCCCTTAGCTGGTTCATAGGCACATCTTTACCTGTCCCTGAGACTTGTGTTTTCCATCTGTAAAATGGAAGTGGGGGAATCAATGAGGTAAGTGCATTTAGAATCAAGGTGAGCAGAGCTGTTGTTATTCACCTCGCCTAGACAATAGCAATGAGGCTGAGGTGCCACAGGCCTGGGTTCAGGTCTAGGCCTGCTGTTCTGGTTCTGTGGACTTGGGCAGGTCACCTTGGTTTGGTTTCTCTCCAGTGGAGGCAATTCAGACCCTAGAGTTGGTGTGGGAATAGAAGAGTGTATGTGATGCAGGTATGATAACAAGGTGTGACTTTTTACTGTTTGCCAAATCTCTGGCTGATTTAGGCCCTTTGTAGTATTTGTTTGCTTTTAATTTTTTTTAAAATTACTCCACATTTTATTTTTGATTCTGGGGATTGATCCTAGGGCCTATGCATGCTAAGCGTGTGCTGTACCACTGAGCGCTGTACCAGCCCTCATCTCATGTTTTCTCCTTGGTGGAGCATCCTCTTCTCATGGCCATACCTTACACTTGTCAGTGTGGCTCCTCCAACTGCTAGGACACTGTTGTGTCTCACATCCCCTTGGAAGTTACAGGAAAGGTCTTTGGAGGGGCTGGACTAGGGAAAATGGATTGAGACCTTCAGGCTGATCAATAAGCCACGGGTCGAGATTTGATCAGGAGTGCTGTGTGTGTGTGTGTGTGTGTGTGTGTGTGTGTGCGCGCGCGCGCGCGCACACGCGCGTGGTGGGGGGGATGACAGAATTCTGGTCCATGGAAACCACCCTGAGGAGGGACTGGCTGCCCTGCTCAGAGAGAGGCCCAAGTTTGTACCCATTTTTGTCCAATTCTGAAATCTTCATTCTTTCTCCTATAGCTGACAGTTTTCCCCAAGGGAATAAACAGAATGAACCAAAACTTTAAAATAGTTCCCTCCCTCCACTGTAAAATGTATTCATGTCTGTTAGAGAAAATGTATAAGACAGAAAAAAATATAAAGGGGCTATAGCTCACCAGTACAGCACCTACCTACTATGTGTGAGGCACTGGGGTTTATTTCTTAGCACTGAAAAAAAATTAAAAGGAAAAGAAATCAAAAGTCAGTCATCCTATCCAGAAATAACCATTGTTAATATTTTGATGTGTATCATTTCAGCTTTAATTTTTTTAAGCTTTATTTCCAGAAGCAAAAAGCCTGGTATCACAGTAGACACACTGTTTTTTTACTTGCTTCTGTTTGTGAACTGTTTCCTGCCTGTGTCAGGAAATAATTTTCCATGAGCTTTTTCACCTGCCTGGCATTCCAGCGTGTGTATCATCATTGATTTGGCTGCCTCTGTGTTCCTGGGTGTTACGGTTGTTTCTGTTTCTCTGTTATAAATAGGGCACTAATGAGTATTGTTTTGCATATCTCTGAGTGTTTCCCTGGAAAATTCTACAAGTGGTGCACTGGGCCACAAGGTCACAGCAGGCAGGTACAGTCAGAAAGCCTTCTTAAAGGGGGGCCCTCCAACAGCAGAAAGTGAGGGGTCACTTGGATTGAAGTTTATCATGTAGTAACATCAGCCTGGTCCCCTCAAAAGGCTATAGCTCCATGCAGCCATTCCCAACTGGGGCCCTTCAGCCCTTGTAACTGTGAGCAGGAGTGTATTTGCAGGAGTGTATTTGTGAGCTGAGGGTACAGCATGCATCTCTGTGCCTGCTGGACCGGCACTCCCATCAGCCACCCTGCTCAGCAGCCTCCTCAGCTTGTGACCCTTCATACCATTGGAGTTTCCAACAATGGCATCTGTCCCAGAGGGGCAGCATTGGTTGCCAAGCACTGTGTATAGACAACAGAAATCGCTTGGGCCATGAGCAGGAGCTGTTGGGCACACTGAGCCTTTGAGTGGGCAGGCCGGACTCCAACATCAAGCAGGAGCCCAGGTTTAGTGGTTGATGGCAGGCCTGTGGGCCAACTGTGGACTGGGACAGCTAGTCTCTTGTCCATTTTTGTATTTGTTTGGTTCTGGGGATAAACCCAGGGCCTTACACATACTAAACACATGTTCTACCACTGAGCTAAACCCCTAGCACCTAGTACCCATTTATCTAATTCCATCCCATCCCTCAGCCCAGGCTGTCAGTGTTGCCTGGTGTCTCTTTATCGGGAACTGGAAGATCAGTATCCCTGATCCTGACCCTGGACTACTGGCTCTGGGCAGGTGCTGGAAGTGGTAGGAGTATATAGATGGCCTGTGTCATAGGACCTTGAACCTCCCCTTGTGGGCTGTGGCTGGTGTCTTGCTGTGTGCCACTCAGGACGTGAGTGGCCAGAGATCTAGGGAGTGCTTTTCTCTGGTCATGAAATGTGGCCTCCAACCAGTCATTTCCTGGCTTCCACAGTCTCACCTACAAGATAGGCTCCTGAGGCACATGCTGAGGATTGGGCCAGCCCTCGGGGAAAGGGATTCTGTCAGAGGGCCTGGAGCTACGGGCTTAGAGGTGTGTGCACCAGTGAATGAGGGAAGTCAGGCTCCCGGGGAAGCAGGTGCTGGGGTCCACAAGGATGGTAAGTGGCATGGCCTTGATGGGCCCTGGGGGGAAGCAGTAAGTGAAGGTACCTCTCCCCCACCCTTCCTGCTACAGGTTGGCTTCCTGAAGATCCTGCATAGGTATGAGATTACCTTCACTCTGCCCCCAGTGCGCAGGCTGAGCAAGGACATCCGTGAGGCACCTGTCCCTAGTCTACACCTCAAGCTCCTCAGCGTCATGCCTGTCCCTGAAGGTACGTCACCTCCTGGGCTGCTGGAGGCCTGCCCTTGAGCAGCCAGGCCTGGCCGTGAGTGGGAGTGAGAATGGACACGGTACCACTGTGAGCTTTCAGTGTGGCAGCTTGGCAGTTTGCAGGTCTGCTTCTGCACACTGGCTGATGGTTCCCTTAGTGGGGAGGTAACTGAGATGGGAGCCACTGAGGAACTGGCTTTGGGCCCTCCCTCCTACCCACCTCTGGAGAACAAGCTTGGAGCCTCCAGAACTTTGGTTGGCTGACTCCTAGCACCTACCAGTCCCAGGCCTTGGGTTTCAGGCCACTTCTCTCTACCCAGCTGGCTTCAGGCCCTGCTCCACCCCCTATCTTCAGCCTGGCAGAGGCTAGGTCATCAGTTTTGCAATGCACTACCTATTGTCCCAGCTCCAGTTTCATGTCCCCAGCACCACCTTTCATAACCTTGCCCTTCAGTAGACCAAACAAGATCCCTCAGGCCTTTGCATTGCCTCTTGCCACCAATCCACTCAAAGCCCACCCTGCCTGCCCCCCCTCATGATGGAGACATCATTCCCTCTCTTGCCTTTCTTTATGTGGAACCAGCAGACCCTCGTCTTGGAGGCCTGAGTTGGAGCCTGCCTCACTTTTGTAGCTAATCTGGGCTCCAAGATCAAATGCACCTTCATCTCATTGAAGATGGGAAGTTTTCTAGGCCCATGCATCCACCTTGCGGGGATGGGTCTCCTTGCCCCTTTCTGGAAGAGGCTCAACATACTTTTGTGGGTGGGGCGTATGAATGCTGGGGACAGTCTGGGGAAGCCAGGGAAGGTGCTGGTCACGTGCCCATCCTTGTCCCCCCTGCAGGTTATAGCATCAAGTGCGAGTACTCTGCGCACAAGGAGGGTGTACTCAAAGAGGAGATGCTACTGGCCTGTGAGGGAGGCACAGGTGCCTTTGTGCGTGTAATGGTACAGGCACGAGTCATGGGTGAGTGAGAGCAGGAAGCACAAGAGTGGCTTAGAGGGCTCCTTGTGGGCTCCTTGTTTCATCCTTCTTGACCCTTACCAATTGGGAGGGGCCCCCTTGGAGCGGGCCATGTGGGTGCCAGGGTGCAGTGAGCACACCAGTTTGCACCCTGCCTTGCAGACCGGCACCACGGTACGCCCATGCTGCTGGACGGTGTTAAGTGTGTGGGTGCAGAGCTGGAGTACGACTCTGAGCACAGCGACTGGCACGGCTTCGACTGAGGCACGCAGCCCAGATGGCCCACCTTTGTAGCCCCTCAGCCTTAAACCCCACTTTGTCTCCCGATGTGCTGTGTGACAGTGTGGCTTCCTCACCCCTACCCAGGGAGGGTGTTGGAGTGGTGTCCACAGCCCTCGGACCTCAACCACACCTCTCACCTCTGCCTTCATTCATGCCACCACCCTGCCTCTCCTGCATCCTCCTCTCCCACTTCCTCCTCTCCATGTGCCTCAGTCTCCTGCAGGAAGTTGAGCCCCCAAGGAGGCTATCAGAGGAGAGGAGGGGAGGGCTTGGGGTGGGATCTACCCACTCTCCACCCCAAGCCTTAGGGACTTCAGCCAGGTTCTGGGAGAGGACAGAGTGGCTCAGTGTTGTCAACGCCTCATGACTGCTGCTGCTGTCTCACCTCAGCCACCTCTCCCACCCCTTCCTCTTCCCCACTGCTGCCCTCTTGAGTGGGAGGCACAGTTCCCAGCCCCTACCCTCAGGTCTGTGTTGCTTGGTTTTTAAATGACTGGTTGGGATAGAGTCCTAAATAAATAAAATTACCAGTGGATACCAGAGGCCAGCAGGGTTTTTGTTCTCTGGGTTGTGAGACTGCCCAATTCCTCATAGATGGGCCAAGGATGAACTTGGGTAAACTCATTCTTTCAGGAGGCAAGAGTGCTGTATGGTATTATAGCGCCTAGCCCCAGAAGGGTATGCACAGATGGGGGCATTTTAGGCCTAAGACTAATTGCCTAGTTTGAGTGGGGGAAGGATCTCCTGCTCTGGCTCTAGAGCCGTCTTAAGGCTTTCTGTTTGGAATGCTTGACAGGGAGAGGCAGCACCCCCTTCTGGCTAGTTCCTTCCCTGAGTGCAGCTGAAAACTTCCTTTTTTCTAGCACCCTGCTTCCTAACACTACTCTATTAGGGTCCCCACTCATGTGGTAACAGCAGGTTGTGTCTTCCCCTTGATCATAAATGCTTTATTGTCACCCTAGGGTGGATTCTCAGGCAGGTGGGGCTGTTCCATGTCACCACTAGAAAGAAGTGCCCGATGTTTTACACTTGGGAAAACTGAGGTCCATGGTTGATCAGAAAATATCCTAATGGCACATCAAATCAGTGGCAGAGCTGGGACAAACCTCCAGTGCTTTCTCTGTCTTCCCTATCCTCCCGACTGCCTTTCCTTGCCTGGGGTGGAGGGCAAGTGGGTCATTCATAGGCTGTCCTTAGGGATCCGCAGCAGACTATTCCCACATTCCCTCAACACTGCCTTCACCTTAACAACGTACCCTCTTCATGAGTAAGCTACTGCCTTTTCTACAATTAAAAAAAAAAGGCTTTTGCACCCCTCTAATTTTCATTGTAGCCATTTTCCTGATCATGGGCACGGGGTTGCTTTGCCCGGCTCCGTATGGTTGGCTCCTGTCCTTCAGGTCCAGCCCTGTGCAATCTCCTTCCTGTAGCCTACCTTGCTTGGCATTTCCCCTCTCGTAAGTTGAGGCCAGCACTTGGACTTCTGCATTGTCTTCTGGGTCACACGCCCCCTGTAGGCTGGGCACGCCCTCTTGCAAACCTCTTCGAAGTTTCTTTCCTTTACCCCTCGGTTCTTGGCGGAGCCCTTCCAGTCAGCGGACCACAGCCCAGTCCCCACGCGAGTCTCGATATGTCCCCACCCTCCTTTCCATGACCTTATGTCTCCTGGACTGGAGGGCGGGGAAAGGAGCCCTCACCTGGCTCCCCAAACCCCAGGACCGAAAGAAGGCGGGGCGGGTCAGAAGGGGCTGGCACTGCGCAGGCGCGCCCTCAATTGGAAAGAAAGTCGATAGCGGCACGCACAGAGCGATTGGTGCTGACGTCGACGGCGGTGACCTTAATCTCGGTGTCCCCAAACTGCATGGCGGCGCGGATTTCGCGGCGGCCGGGGGGCGCGCCGGAGCTGTCCGAGCCGCCGTCGGCTGGCTCGAGTTCCAGGCTGAGCGCGCCGCACTTGCGCACTCCCGGGTCTGTGATGAAGCGCGCGTCCTCGGCGGCGCAGCAGTACAGGTTGATGAGCACGCGCCGCTGGCCGGGGCGTGCCGGGCAGTAGCTGCGCCGCACCTCCTCGCCCAGGGCCACTGACTGCTCGGCGGCCACGAAGCGCTCGAAGACGTCAGTGCACCAGCGGCGGCCGTCGCGAACCAGCAGCTTGTCGGGCGGGTGGCGCCCAGCCACAAATCGATTGAGCACGCCCACGCCGTAGGTGAGAGGCGAGCGGCGCACCCGTACCACGCCTGGGGCCTGGCCGAAGAGCACCGCGCCCTTGAGGATGGTGAGGCCCACGTCGTGCGGGACCACAACACGCAGACCGCGGGCGCCCAGCACCGCCTGGACGGCGTGCTGCAGCACGGCCGACTCCGCGAAGCCGCCCACCAGGAACAGCAGCTTCACGCCCTGCACCTCAGGACGCGACAGCAGCGCCTCTGCGGGGCAGGACCCAGACAGGGTTGGGGAGGTGGGGGTGAGGAGGACAGAGGAGGAGCAGAGAGAAAGAGCCACTGAGGCCACCACTTCGTGGCAATTGGAGCCTCCCCCTCCTTATACCTGTACTCTCCTGGCAACTAAAAACTAGCCATTTGATCTACATCCTAATTTTAAAAACCAAACCCAAAACAAAACAACAAAAATGAGTCTAATAGGAATTGTCACTACAAATCCCCCACTGCGTAATGAATATATTCTAATAAAAACGTTTATAAAAAAGAAAAAACCCTGCTTTCACTGAGGGCTCCTGGCGATCCTCACAGGTCCCCCAACACTGTTGGAGGGCAGGACGATCATGCATGCATCAAACGCCAAGGCAATGTGCCCACTCTAGACACTTAAGCTTGTTTAGTTCCTGTGGTAGCATTTGGGGAACCCAGTACTACCACCACACTTTCAAGTGGGAACTACACATGATCCTCCTAGTTCTTAGTCACCGAGGCACCGTGTACTCCAGGTGATATCGATGATTCTGGATCTCACCCCCAAGGTTTCCAGACATTGATGAGGGGACTTATTCCCCAATCTAGGGCTGAATGGAGGACCTGAGTCCAGGCACTCACCTATGTGTTGGATGATCCCATTGACTGTGGGCTGAAAGAGCTCGTTCATGGCTTCACAAGACATCCGGAGCATCCCCTGTGAGGACCACTTCACGAAGTTCACACTGTAGGTGGTGAAAGTGGTACAAGTTCTTGGGTCAGAGACCAGCTGCTTGTAGTTTGTGGTCCTCACTCCCTACCCCTGCGGGTTGTGTGTGAAAGGTGGACCATTGCCCCTTATCCTCAACCGCACTTCACTGTCTGTTCCGGTTCCAGAAGATGATCTTCCCCTTGCCTTGGTGCAGAGGAGCCATGGAACATTGGCTGGTGGGGCATGGCAGGGAGAGGATACGCACCTGCACTCTCCACCCCTCACCCATGGCCCATGATTCTCCCTGCTGCCAACTTTGGGCTGTACTTCCTGCCTCCAGTGGACCGCTCCCCACCCCCCACCCACCCATTACAGCCTCCCCTGTCTCTGTCACCGTCCTGGCTAGCATAATATGTAAGATGGTTTAGGCGGAATCCTCCACCCCAGCTCCCTGGGGCCCACGACTTTCTCTTGCAGGGGCAGTCCCCTCCGCACACTCTGTCTGAGCTTGGGCCCGGGCCCACCTGCTCCTGCGCAGGGCAGTCTCCACGTTATGGCCTCGCTGCTTGCGGTAGAAGTCAATGAAGGAGAAGGGCAGCGAGATGTTGAGTGCCCCCGCACGGTGCGGGGCCGCAGTGCGTTTTCGGGCCTCGAACGCGATGGTCAGATCCACCCAGGCTGCTGGGCGTTGCCTTTTGAAAGTGGCGATGAAGTCCTCGCCGAAAATTCGACAGAGCAGCTGCTCAAAGGCCAAATCCACGCCCACCGCGCCAAAAGGGCCGCCTGCAGTGGGGCAGGAGACGGAGAGGGTGTCAGTGCTTATTCGTCCTCCAGGGGGCGTTGGCGAGACTGGGACACGCTGAGTACCAAGGGCGCTGCATGGCTACTCACCGGATGCCTTGTAGAGCTCCTTGAGGGTGCCGTGCGGCTGCTCCAGCTGGTGCACCGTCAGGTCCACAGTGCCTCCCCCGCAGTCTGCCACCATGTAGCGGTCTCCTGCAGCAGCCAACGCAGGCAAAGGCTCAGGGCCTGTCCCGCATCATCAGCCCTGCCCCCTGCAACCTCCAACCCAGGTCCCAGGAGCCTAGCCTGCGGGGCGGGGAGGATTGTGAGGGACTTCAGGGCCTCCAAATAGGAGCGCAGGGTGTGGGAAAGAACTTGTTCTAAGGGCTCTACAACTTCATCTGCGTGTCTGCTGATAATCTCCTGAAGGAATGGGCGTTTGGCGTGCAACTGAGAGTGGGGTGGGGGTGCAGGTGACTGTGAAGGAACTGCCAGGTTAGGTACAGCCATGGTTAAAAGGGCGGACGTCGCAAATGTGCCCTTCTCGCATCAGTACATGGTTCCCTGCAAGGGGCCAAGAAATGTCCCTCCATCCTCCTCGCTCACCTGCTTGCAACTCTGCCCACAGTTCTCCCACGCCTGACTCCACCAGGAACGTGCGGCTGTGGCGGGACCTTCGAAGCTGTTCACGGGCTAGGGTTGAGGGACAGAAGGAGAGTGAGATTAGAAGGAGCTACCTACCACCTTCAATCCTGTCCTCCCTGCCAAGGCCTTCCAGAACACCTGGAGCTCCCATGCTCTGAAACCCCGCCCCCCACCGTCTTGGGGGGTGATGCTGACCCCCCAACCCCAGGCACTACATCCAACAGTTAGGGGAGGTATTTCTGGACTCAGGGCTTTCCCCTGAGGGAGGGATCAGGCCAGGGTACAATCGGATCTAGGAGGGTTTGGGTGGGGGAAGGCCTGGGAGTGTCCAAGGGGAGCTCAGGACCAGGGGCCTCTCCCTGTCATGGGGAATGGCATTTGGGAGGATGATCAAGGTTGACCATAGCTGTCTGTGGCCTCAGTGCCTGACAGCAGGAGCTTGGGGCTGCCCCAGGCGGGGCAGGGACAGATGTAGGAAGATAGTTGCAGTGGGTATTTAAGGGAAAGCTCCTTTCGAGGAGAGTGGGGGTGACTTCTCCCTTTATCAGAGCCCGCTGAGCACCTGCCCCCAGGACAGGTTGTGCCCCCTACTCTCAAATACAGTACCTGCCTGAGTCCATCCCTCCTAGACCCTACTCCCCTAGGCAACGTGATCTCCACCCTCAGTGTAGGATCTTCGGGTCAGGGACTTGTTCTCCCTCAGACGGAATTCCACCAGGGATGTTTCGACCCCCTTAGATTGGACTCTCCCAGAATGGTGGCTCCTCCCTTCCTGTCATCCTGGACATGACTTTATTTCTGGTTTCCATTTCCCTCTAACTCTCCAAGGGCAATTGCCTCCAAGCCCAGTGCTGGATAGTGTGTGTGGGGCAGCTCACCCTGCCGGAAGCTGGAGTCAATGGAGCGGCGCTCACCCAAGCGCCCACCGCTCTGGGTCCGGCTACTCAGGTCCATGAGCTGATGCAGGCGCAGCTTGCGGCAGTAGACAGAGGCAGCCTCAGGTTCCAAGGCAATGAGAAGTTGTTCTGCATCCTCTCGAGACACCAGGCCAGCCTGCAGATGGGGCAGGATGGGGTGGTATGATGGGCTGCCACATCTAACATGGCATCTGAGGCTTGGGAGTGCTTATCTCTTCCCGCATCACACCCCACCCATGCTAGGCTGAGAGTTCCCTTCATGCTGCACATATCTGGAGCTGCCTACAGCCAACCTGTGACCAGACTGGGGAGAGCCACGGCCATAGCCAAGGGATTGCCCAGCAGGAAGAGATGGCGGAGCTGCAGCAAAGTTCCCCTTTGCAGGTGCAGGACTGACTAGCTAAGCACTGGCTGGGGTGTTAGCAGGGACTCTAGTACAGTGTGGGGGATACAGTGGACAGAGGAGATGGCAGGGCCCCACTGGGCTCACCACGCTGTTGTCAGACACTGACCACAGGCTGCCCCACTCCCAGGAGAACTTTGGTCCCAGAAAATCTGCTATAGCTGGAAGGAAACAGTGAAATTCCAGGCACTTGGGATCTATGCTTCCTGCATCAGGGCAGGGGATCCCTTTGGGGAGCAGTTTAGGGTTTGTGGGGTTCCCTGGATTCTAACCAAGTGGGGGAGGGGCATAGGTGGGGATGGAGATTTCCTGCCCAGGGCCAGCCCTTCCTGAACAGGCATCAGGGAACAGCGTGGGAGGAAGCAGGGCGGGTAAGCAGGCAACAGGACACTAGTGTGGGGGGTGTTTGTTCTGGGGGGAGGGAGGGTGGCCTTCCTTCTATTCTGATCCCTACAGGGGATGTCTACTCTGCTCAAGGTCAGCTATTTACAGGGACAAGCATAGGTACTACAGATCTGACCCCTGGATCATGACTGGTCCACAGGTATGGAGATGTTGGGGACCCTAGTATTTCCAGGGGGTCCACAAGCAGGCTTGAGATCCCTTTTGAATGTCCTAGGGTCTGTGCCCCAAGGTCCTAGGGGCAGGGCCAAGCAATGAGTCTTATTTGCCAAGCTGTTACTGGAAGGTAATGTCTGAGCCCCGCACCCCTTTTTCTCCATCCTTTGGGCATTTTTATGGTAGGAAGGCCAGCACACACCAGCCACAACCACCTCCCTTCAGTTTCACAGTCCTTTTCCTTGCCTCAAGAACCTACCAAAGCTGGGGCAGGGGTAGGGGTATCCCTGAAAATGCCACTGCCAGCTGACATGGATGTTCTTGGTGCCTGGCCTGCCACTGGGAGTGTCAGCTGCTATTGGTACACAGCTGCTCCTGCTCTGGACAGCTGCCTGAGCCAAATGGGAATAGCCTTGCTTGGACAGGTGTCCCATCTACTCCCCCAGCAAACCATGAGACTCATATAGACCCTTGCCTCACTTTGGCCAAATCAGTGATACAATCCTCCCTCTAGAGCACCCTTTGTGCCTAGGCTGAGGCTAGACTTCAGTGAGACTACATCTTTGCTCAACCCTTCTCTGTCCTGCTTCCTCACTCCACTTTCTCTTGAGAACCCATCTTCAACACAAGACCCCATCTTGGGTTCTGCTTCTGGTAGACACTGTCTACACTGATGGCAGGGAGATGAGGAGTGGGCCAGCCCAGGGCTTTCCAGAGCAGTGTTCTCTGCTCCATTTGCATGTCCTCACCAGGTAGGCAGCCTCCCTCATGAACTGCTTGGCAGGCTGTTTCCAGATGGCAGGCACCGTCAACACCCAGCGCACAGTGTCTTTCTCTGGCAGTGATGGGCACTGCTCTCTCAGTTCCTGGAGCAGGAGAGGGCAATGAGGGGACATCGGGCTTGTGACATCTTCAGCCCTCTGGGAGCTGGAAGAACTAATCAAACCACAGGAAGGATTCCTAGCTGATTTGGAAGTGTCCTCCACTACCAAACACCTGTGGGGCCTGGTACAGATTCTACCAGACAGGAAGGCAGGGGACTAGAGACGGTGGCCTATATGACCACCTATATGAGTACTCATCTGATGGACCTGGGATGAGATGAGGGGAGAGGAATGAAGAAGGGGGGAGTCCCTGCATCAGTAGGCAGGAATGGGGTCCGTGGCACACCTGAAGAGCGTGCTCCTTGAAGAAGCGGAGGGCATGGGCGAACACCTCCAGGGCCGGCATCTTCTTTCCATTTACCGCCTCTAGCTGGGTCTTCAAGGTGAGATCCTGGCAGGGACACAGAGCTGCTATGCAGGAGGCCATAGCTCTGCCCTATTTCCTGATGGATTCTTTTTTTAATCACCCCATTTCCTGGAACTTCCTCTCCTCTTTTGCTCCAACCTCACCTTGGCTCTGTCCCCAGCCCCAGCCCTTCCCTTTAGCCCAGCGCCTCCTCTTATCCTTCCCCACTCGGAGTCCTGCCCACATTGCCACCCCCTCCCCTCGCCCCAGAGCGTCTGAGCTCCGCCTACCTTCTAGTCCTTCCCCTTGAGCCTCCCCCTCGGCCCTTCCGCACATCTATTAGCTGTGTCCCACCCTCCACCAATTACGCCCTTTCCCATGCCCCGCCTCTCTGCCCTGAGCCGGAATATGGCTCACAGTGGTGCTGTGGATCTTCATCTTGAACTTCTCAAAGTAGAGCCAGTCCCGCGCCTCTTCAGGGTCCAGGTCATGGTAGTAATCACGGGCGGTATAGCCAAAACTGTGAAATGCGCCCTCTGGGGTCAGCAGCAGGCAGGTAGGGGTCTTCTGATGGGCCACACCGGGGTCCCCGCCCTCCCATTTCCTGCGGAGGCACACGTGGTCAGTGGGCTCTGGGGCCAGTTGTGTGACCTTGGGCAGGACACAACCTTCCTGAGCCTGTCTTTCAGTGGGAATAATAGTACATACCTCTTGGGATTCTTGGGAACAGCAAAAGGCACCCTCTTAAATTTCCATAAATGCTACCATGGGAGCCTCCCTATTCTATCTGACCCCTGATCCTTCTCCTAACCCCTGTTTCTTCCAACGAGGTGCCTCATTTGACCTCTTTTCTCCATACCCTTACAAGCAGCAGCAAGCCAACATCCATTGGCTTGGATCTGGGCTCCTGATGTGTCTCTCTGGGACCCTAGCAGAAGCCATCTTCCAGCAAGTTGCTTTGTCCTCCTCAAGGCTGTCTTCCAAGGCCAAGCTCCTTCAAGGTCTTTCATGACCATTTCTATCTGACTCACTTTGGCAGCTATACCCTAGAGGCTGCACTTGTGGCAGGTCCCCCAAACCTGAATGAGATCATTCAATGAGAACTTCTCTAGCTGTAGGGGCATCTAGACCCTCTCCCAGAACTCACTGCCCACTACATTGCCTGGCAAATCCTTTCCTCCCACTTCCTCTTTCTTCTTTGATGCCTTGACTCCTTCAAGTCAAGTTCACCACTGCAGCCCTTTGGGGGAAAGAACTGGGAATGTAGGCAGAAGGAATAGCATGTATAAGAGGTGTGGAGGAGCAGGGGAACCAGCTCTAGATTGGCTCAACAAGCAGCAGGAGAAAATGCAGCACTGCCAGCATCAGATAGTGAGTATTGAATGCCATATCAGAATCCTATCTTGATGAATTTTAAGTAGGGGAGCGAAGAGGCATGACCACATTTGCCTTTGGAAAGGAAAGGTGCTGGTCCCCATGCAGAATAGACTGGAGGAAGAGAGGATGGAGAACATAAACCAGGAAGAAGGATATTGCAGTGGTCCAGGTATAAGAGGGTGGGGGCTGAACTTAGATAGGAAAGGCAGCCATGGAGAGAGGGGAATGGGTATTCCAGAGACAGTAGGATGACACAGAAATGATCGGGCTTGGTGGCTGGTGATAAGGGAAGTCTTGAGAGGAGGTCAAGATGTTTCCCAGTTACTTCCTGTGACTGTCACTCTCATAGGATAGAGACGGTGTCCTTTCATGTGTACTCATTCCTAGCACAGGGCCTGGCATGGCCTTAGCTTGGGTGCTGATGAGTGTGCCAGCTGAGCTGCCCTGCACTCCTAGAGGGTTATAAATGCCAAGAGCCTTTGTGGCCTCCTTCACGTGGAGGGAACACAGAAAAGGGGAAAAAACAGTCCAGGCTCAAGAAGCAGTCCCATGTATCTTTGGGGTAGTGGCTTCTGTCTGTCTCTCCATTCACCCATCCATCCTTAGGAGGCTCCCTGTAATCTCCCATCCTAGGCAGGGTTGAGAGCTTTGGAGTCTTCCATAGCTTCACCTCCTGGCTGCAGCCCTAGTAAGATATAGTAGAAGGATCAGGGTCTTGAAGTCCAGAGAGGAGTTATTATGCTTTGGATATGATTTGGGTGTCCCCCACAGGCTTCATGTGTTGAAATTTAGTCACCATTGTGAGGTATTAAGAGGGTGGAAACTGCCAGCCATCAGTGGCTCACGCCTGTAATCCTAGCTACTTGGGAGGCTAAGATTAGGAGGATCGAGGTTCAAGGCCAGCTCAAGGAAATAGTTCCTGACATTCCATCTCCAAAATAACCAGAGTAAAATGGACCAGTGGTGTGGGTCAAGTGGCAGAATACCTGCTTTGCAAGCCTGAAGCCCTGAGCTCAAACCCCACTCCCACTAAAAAAAAAAAAGGAAAAGGGAGGGGTGTGTGTGGAAACATTCCATTTACGGCATTTAGAGGTGAGGCTTTTGGAAAATGACTGGAACTAAAATATGGTCATTATTGTGAAGCCTCCATGATTGAATCCCAGTTGCTTTATAAGGAGAGAAGCTGGGCACTGGTGGCTCAAGCCTGTAATCTCAGCTACTTGGGAAGCTGAAATCAGAAGGACTACAGTTCAAGGACAGTCTGGGTGAAAAGTTTGTGAGCCCCCCCATCTCAACAAATAGCTAGATGATGTGGCATGCACCTGTCATCCCAGCTATGCAGAAAGAATAAACAGGAAGATCATGGTCCAGGTCGTATGGGGCAAAAGGTGAGACCCTATTTCAAAAATAGCAAGCGAAAAAAGGGCTGGGGGCATTGCTCAAGCTGTAGAATGGTTGCTAGCAAGCATGAGTTCAACCCCCAGTACCACCCCTCCCCCAAATGGAGAGCAACTAGGGCTGGGGCATGGGTCAAGTGGTAGACTACTTGCCCAGAAAGCCCAACACCCTGAACTCAATCCCTAGCACTGCATAATAATGATAATAATAACCATGATGAGAGCAGACAGACACAGAGGTACCCAGACATGTTCTCTGTCTCTTGCTATGTGATATCCTGAGCTACCTTGGAGCTCTCTGCCAGCAAGAAGGCTCCAGATGCAGCCCCCCAATCTTGCACCTCCAGAACCATGAGCCAAGGTAAACTTTTTTTTCTTTAATGAAACAGCCTGACTCCAACATTTTGTTATGGTAACAAAAATATACTAATATAGGAGTGTTCAAAAAAACCCAACAACATCAAAAGGTATCTTTTCAAAACATCTCTTTCATATCAGTTGTGACTTGTTAACCTCTGAACCTTCATTTCCTTGTTTTCCATTTCACATGTTGGACCTAAGAATCTGCCTCTAGAAATCTACCCCAGAGAAATGCCAGCAAAAGTTTTCAAAGAAGGACACTCACTGCAGCAGTTTTTGTAATAGTGAAAAATGAGGGGGATAAAAGTATCAAGAGGGGAACTGATAAATTATGTTACATCTGTACAACACAGATGTTCAAAGAAAGTGGGAGCTCTGTATGTACTCACATAGAACCTTTAGGAAATAGTGTTGCAAGTTTAATAAAGCAAATTCTGTGCTCACCTTGACAGCACATATACTAAAATTGAAATGATGCCTGCTCAAGGATGACATGCAAGTTTATGAAGCATTTACTTAAAAAATAACAAAGCAAATCCTATGGCTGTCCCCCTTTTTTTTTTAAGAGAAGGTCTTGTTATGTAGCCCAGGTTGGCCTTGAACTCACAATCTTTCTGCCTCATTCTTCAAAGTGCTGGGATTATAGGTGTACACCACCACAGAGAGCCCACTTTTATTTTTAAAATGTGTGTGTGCATTTGTATATAATTCCAGAAATAGATTCACTTTTTTGCATGTTTGTTATGTCTCAATATAAAATTTAAAATAAAAAATAAAGCCCCAGGTTAGAGGTGTGGCTCAGTGGTAGAACACTTGCCTCTAATACACAAGGCCCTGGGTTGGATCCTCAGGACTGCAAAAAGAAAGAAACAAATAAACATATATAGGCTAGGTGTGCTGGCTCATGTCTGTAATCCCAGCTACTCAGAAGGCAGAGATTGGGAGGACTGAAGTTTGAAGCCAGCTGGGGCAAAAAGTTAGCAAGTAGGACTTGGTGACATGAACTGAGATCCCAGCTACAACCTGGAGTCTGTAGGTAGGAGGATCACAGTCTGACGCTGCCTCACGCAAAAACTCAAGACTTTACCTGTAAAATAACTAAGGCAAAAAGTGACTTGGGTCATTGGCTGAAGTGGTTGCAAGCATAAGGCTCTGAGTTCAAACCTTAGTACCACCAAAAAACAAATAAATAAAGCCCCACATTTCCTGCAGAGGGTGGGAGAGATCCAATTGAGGCTGGGCGCCCGGACATGAGGCTCAGCCTATAGCCTTTTGTCCCAGTGGGGGGTCCCAGACTAGGGACAGAAGGGACCCAGAGAAGACCCCATGCCTCGGTAACTATTTCTAGGAACAGGAGATCCCAGGGTTTGAGGACACCTCCCCACTCCAATCTCCCAGCCCAGTCACTTTCACCTCATCATGTGGATGGCCTCAGGATCACTGGCAAAGCTGAAGGCATAGCCACTGGATGTGGTACCAAAGTCGATGGCCACTACCACGGAGAAAGGAGCCTGCTGGGGGACTCGGGTCTCTGGCTTCTGCAAGTCCAAGAAGTCTAGACTCAGCGAGCAACCAGAAGGGATCAGCCAACTGCCAGCAGAGAACACCTCCCTTTCACTAGCTGTGGTCCAGACAGCCCTGGTCCACCCACCTGCCTGGGCTCCCCTCTCCTCCCAGGCTCCAGGCTGAGTCCTAGACCTGCCAACTGCTCAGAAAGCCCAAGAGGCCTCTCAGGTAACCACTTGCAGTTTGGGGCTCAAGAGCCTGCTTTCCTGCTTCCAATTCTCCGCCTACCTTCTGCCTGGACTGCCTTAATCCACCCCCTCCTCACATCATCTTCCCAGCCTTCTACCAGCCTGGGCCCAGCTGGGAGCAATTTCACTTCTCTGGGCAGTTTTATAGGTCATGGACCTGCTTTTTGTGTCTACAATGACACAAACCAGACTGATTTTGTGGCAGAGAGGAAAGACCCTGTGCATGTGTAGAGTGGGCCCTGCCTCTCTCAGACTTCCTGAGAACAAGAGGGTGCCCAAGCTGAATCACTAGGGCAAGACCCTCCAGTTTGGGGTGACCTAGGGAGCACGGGGGTGGGGAGGCTATGTCCTGGAAACGTCAAACGAGCAGTTCCAAACTTCATTTTTTAGCAACACACCTCCTCTGTCCCAGATATGACTTGGATTAAGGTGTGCTTGTGGCTGACAGGAAAGGGAACATTTCTGGAGGGAGGCCCTGTGCGCTGAGGACATAGAAAAACCACATGCTTGCCCAATATCAGTCACAATGGCCCCTGGTGACATCCTGCAGCAGGGAGGGCTGGAAGTGAGTTAGCTGGGGCTCACCTTCTGAGATGAAATCTCACATCTTACAGGCTAAGACCACAGGGAACACATGACTATTGTGTGTCCTCTTCCTTCCCAGCCCAGGCCCCACATAGCTCTGTCAGCACAACCCTCCTCTACCCACCACTCCAAATCTCTGATCTGGGCTTACTGGAGACTGTGAAGGTGTGAGTGGGGCAATGCCACAGCTTTCCTGGGTCCTTGGGGAGCCGGGTGGGCTGGGCACCGGGGACCGCTCTGGGCTGGAACCTGCAGAGAAGAGAGACAGGTCACCCTGACACAAAGAGGTCTGGAACTGGAAGGTTCTCTATCAGTCCTTGCTGGACAGAGGCAAAGGGCCCCTTGCTGAGGTAGGAAGGACATGCACAAGGCAGGGATAGAGAACAAGGACCATTATCAGTTGGAGGCAACACTTCCTTGAAGGGTGACCTATGTATCACTGGGCTCCTTGTCTTCCCTAGCACCCCTCAGACACAGCAGGGAGGAGAGGAGGCAGAGAGGCATTGTGTGGTGGGGGGACTGAGCCCAGAAGTGGGAGGAAGGGAGAGATGGGATAGATGAGCTCCTGGGATGGAGTTCAAGGGTGCAGAAGCCAGGAAAAAGAGGAAGCTACAGACTCAGTGGCTGGGAGGAGGAGCAGCCAGCCCAGAGGTAGGGCTGCTCCTCTCTGTCCTAAAGTTTGGCCACATGGTTGTAATCAGAGCTTAAAGGAGTTCCCCCTCCCCCATCCCCACAAGGGCCACAGATAGGCCCAGCTGGCTGCCTGGGGAGGATTGGAGGAGAGCAGCACCTCCCTCCAGCCCAGCACTGAACCTAGGGATGTGCACAATTCCAGAGTCTGATGGCTTGTCCCCCAGCACACACACCCATGCACACGTACACATGCCAGCTAGCATATGTGTGTGGGGGAAGAGGCCCCCGAGACCCTCTTGCAGGCCCAGGACAGGGCTGGACCTTAGTCGTGAGGAAGTAAGAGCATCCTCAAGAAGTGGCCCAAGGGCTAGCTTGAGGGGTCAGGCAGCTCACAGGAGGGCTGCCTGGCTGGGCACCACACACCGAGCTTTGCTAAGAGTCATGGAGGGAGAGCTACCAGGGTTCCCTTGAGACCCATGCATGGGGACAGAGGTGGGGAATGGGATCTAGCAAGAACATCCAGGGACAAATCAGCAAGTCTGTAAGGCTGCACAGTGGGCCAGGGCAGGGTCCCTTGCCCCCTCAGCTGTAGCCTGGCCAAGTGATCTTGCTGGCCCTGGGGTGACCCAGAAATATATATGAGGGGCTGGGAATGAAAGGGATTCTGGGAAGTGGCTGGAAAGGGCTGTAGTCTGTCTGGGTGCCAGAAGGGCAGGGGCACCAGAGTCACATTCTGAGTGCTCCCCTTCCTTAGGCAGCCAGCACAGGCTTGGCCCTGCCACCAGCTCCAGCTTGAGAGGCCAAGTTGCTGAGGCTTGAGCCTGGGAAGGGAGGCAGGAAGGAAGGGCCCAGCCCGCCAGGTCTTTGTGAATGGACTTCCTGAGGAGTGTCCTGCCTGCTGGCCTCCCACCCCTGCAGAGAGCCCAGAGCTTGCTCTCCAACCAGGCCAGATGCACAGAGCTCAATGCCCATGTGTCCACCTGCAGACTACATACTCCTACAGGTCCTGTGTACAGGGACCTACCTGTAGACACTCCCCCAACACACACACATAGGGTCTTGTGCACATACCTGCACAAAATAAAGACACATGTATATGCAATTCTGTGCACATTCACCTTACACACACACACACATACACACACAGACTCATATGCACAGAGGGGTTCTGTGAATAGATCTGCCCTATGTACATACACACCCATACTCACACTTACATACACAGACCTGTGTACAAAGCCCTTCCTGCATGTGTGCACACACAAGCACACATTCACAGCATAGCTCTCAGGAACCTCTAGTGGGAGAGGCACATGCGGACAATGGGCCAGTTAGTCTCTGTGCTCAAGCAAGGAGGGATGAGATTGGCAGTTGTCTTACCAATGTACAGCCCCTGCAGGCCCATCTCTGGTACAGCCAGCATCCTTGCAAGCCCTGTAGCTGTCAACAGGAACAGACAAACAGAAATGGGGTTTACTTGTTCCTTTGCTCTCTCACCACATGCTTATTTGTGTTATCTATTTACTTTTGGCTGGAGTCCTTTGAAGCTAACCCCAGACATCATGTTTCATCTACAAACTCTTCAATATGTCTCTCCAACAAAGACATTTTGAAAAACATCACCACAACTCCATTATCATGTCTAACAAAATTTACAGCAATTCTTTCATTTCATCTAAAGCTCAGTCCCACTGGCCCAGCATGGCTCAAAAATGACTTTGCTTTGTAGAAATCAGGATTGTCCTCATTGTTTTCTGGGGCCCACTTTGTGCCAGGTGCTTGGCATCTGTGATTTAGAGAGAGACACTGTCCCCACCCTGGGGACCCACAGCTGATTAGGCCTATTCTGAGCAAACAGAAGTCTGGTGGGAAAGACGATCATACCCAAGACAGTTATGCAAGTGGTTTTGGGATTACAAACAATTCTGAGGCCTGTGAAGGTGACAGCAGTGTAGGAGAGAGGGGCTGGGCTGGGCTGCCCTGCAGGCAGACCCTGATGGGCCCTCCTTTAGACTTGGTTTTGTAAGAAGGACAGGCATCAGCAAATCTTGAAGGCTTTGAACTGGCAGGGTAGGGGTGGAGCATGACCTAGCTTGTGCTTTGAGCGGCCCTCAGGTTGCACAGGGAGGGAAGATTGCTGGGGGGTGGAGGGTAGGGGCGCAATATGGAAGCAGGAGCCCAGGTGGGCTGCTGTCACTCTGAAGGCTATAGAGGATGGTGGCAAATGTGTACCTTGAGACAGAAGTGGAGACATTTAAGAGTTAGTAACTAAAATCATCAGAGCTGATGAGATTGGTTATGAGGGGTTAAGAAGAGGATGTCAGGTGGTATTTGTCTGGCTCAAGCTGGGAGATGGATGGTGAGCTGGAGAACACTGGAGAAGGGGCAGGCTGGCAGCAGATTGGGATGTTGTTTGGAACTAATATGATCTGTAGGTCAGGGAGAAATCTGAGTTGGAGATGTACATCTGAGAGTCACTGTCATGGGCGACTTGGTACAGAGTAAAGGGGGAAGGGAAGGGAGGCAGAGCCACAAAGGCTAAATAGGGGAACGTGGGCTGGTCAAGGGACTGAGAAGCCTCCTGAGTTTTCATGAAGACCATGACAAGAGGGTAAAACTAGATGCATTTAAGAGGTCATTAGACTGCAAACACCTGTCTTAATGGCCCAACACAGGTAAGCCCAGGTGAGACATAAGTAGGAGACGAGAGAACTGAGCTAGACATTGGCTTAGTTGAGACGCTTGGCTGAAATCAGAAACAGATATGATGGCAGTAGCTGTAGGGAGGGGAGGAAGGACATTTGTTGTTTCCTAAGATGGAAGGAACTTGAGCTTTTGTCTATGACGTTCTGGAGGCCAGGCTCTCAGCAGATCCTCCACAACTTCGACAGCTTTGTTACTCAAAGCCTGGTCTCAGGCCTGGCAGCATTGGCATCACCCTGCATCTCCAGGAGCTTGTTAGAAATGCAGACCTCAGGCACCATTCCTGAGCTGCTGGATCAGCACTTGACTTTAAGGAGATCCCCAGGAATTCAGATGTGCATTAAAGTTTGACAAATGCTGCTTCCGGGTCCCTGCTCCTGTACAGTATGGAGATCATAAATGCTATGTATGCTCTTATCCACAGGCCCGATTGCTCCTCTAAGCAAAGATGGACCCTCCTGCAGCCCACTCCAGGGCCTGGTCAGGAAGTTTTGCTAACAGAACACAAACAGACACTGGCATGCCCATACACATATGGATTGAACACAAATCCAGCCCAGTCATGTACAGACACCCAGACTCCCCCACATTCTCTTGTATGTCCAGGGTACTCCTGCATGACCAGTACCATAGAGATTTCCAGATACTTGCAGTCTTGCTGCCCTCCATGTCCCTGGAGGTATACAGTTGACTCCCCAGGAATCAGAATCAAAAGAAAGATGAGGGCTGGCTGTGTGTGCTTGTAAAGCAGCAAAATGATGCTGAGAAAAGGGAAAGCAAATAGAGGGGATGAGTAGGGACTTTGGGAGCCAGGACAGAAGCTCAGCTCAGAGTGACAAAGTACTGTGCTGGAGCTAGATCCCACAAACTCCACAGAGCTGACACTGGATCTCTTTTCCCAATTCTTCATTCACTGGCATCACATTGGTGGCTTGAGATCAGCCATGGTTGGGAGTATTTACACCATGGAAATTGGCAAGCTACAAATCAAGCTCTCAGAGAGTTAATCATAAACCATTTACCAGCACACGTCTGGATCCAAGCCACAAAGGAGGAGCTGGCAGCCTGATTTGTATGTTTCAATTCTTCAGCAAATTTGTATTGGGCATTTCCTTGTGCCAAACTGTGCTAAGGGCTGAGAAACACTTTGTCCAATGAATGAATGGATTTTTTGGACCAAGGATACTGGACATGAGACTGCCAGGAAAAACAGAGTTGTCACTCTAAGCTCAATTGCCTATAACCTCCCCAGCTCTTCTGAAGCAGGAGCACATTCCTGTCTTGAGAGTGTAATATACAGGCATCCCCACACTGGGGTCTCAGTAATGCCAAGAGCCTATTGTAGCACCTGTTGTGAGTGTGTCATGTCACCCCTCTGTGCCTCAGTGCCCTTTCCTATAAAATGGGTGACACTGGGGCTTGTGAGGACCAAGTCCAAATATAGAGGTGATGATAAAGGAAATGAGCCGGGCATGTGTGAGCAGTGTTCTTTCCTTCACTAAATGGACTCTGAATTTTCAATTGTTAGTTTTTGATCTGAGAATTCCATTCATGCTGAGTTCATGGGAAGGATGGAGGAATTGAACCAAATTGTGTTAAGCAAGGAGTTTTCATTGAATCCCTAAGAGGTAGGAGGGGGTGGCAGCCACACAAGAATGCACACATCCCTATGTGTCTTTGGGACCCCTCCCCACCACCATGCACACACACCCAAAAACACTTAAGGAGAATGCTGACCATAGAATTCAGGACAAGCTAGCTCCCCAAAGCTAGGTCTGGGCAGAGTCCACAGCTGGAAATGGGGGAGGCAGACATCCCAGCCCAAGAGCCCACTACTTTCAGACTGGTGATACCTCTGGCTTTGAGAGTAATTGGGTGGGGCAGGTTGACTTACACAGAGAGTAACTCCATTTCCTATCTGTAAGCACATGCCAGATTCTGGCCCGAGCTTGACTTCTACCCTACCGTTAGACCCTTAACCCTCCTTGCCCATGGACTGACACTAAACTCTCAGCCTCATGTTGACCTCTAATCTTCATATTCACCCCGACTCTGGCCCTGACTTCTGTCCAACAGGCATAGCCTGTCAGGTACTGGGGACCAGGACCAGTTGTGGCCAAGTAGAGACTTACAACCAGAGACTTCCTAGAGTATCATCTCCACCCTCCACCCTCAGTCTCATAATAGCTAGTTTTTGCCCAATGGAGAGGATTCTTCGAGGATCACCTCGAAGAATTGTGGCCTGGGACCTCTGCAGGTTTGTGTTGTGGATGGATTTTAGGACTCCACACAGTGCCGCTGAGGACAAGGAGCTCACCTTATCTTAACGATTCTCCTCCTCCCTGGGACCCTGCCTCCTGCCAGCGATTTAATGGAATATGACTGTCACCAGGCTAACTAAGGCCACAGGCATTTCTCCCAAGCCACAGATTAGGCCAACCAACCAGGGCCCAAGGGTCAGATCTGAAATGGCACCCAAACGGCTGCCCCACCCTGTCTCTGCAGGAGCCCTCAGAGAGAGGCTGTGGAGTGAAGGGCTGTCCTCTCCTGTGCTGGGGCAAGGGTGACAGAAACGCACTCCTATGGCCCTTCCCAGTCCTCAACTTTGTTTTCCATACATCCTGCCCCACCACCTTGGGTCCTCATTAGGGGAGCAGCCAGTTCACAAATAACCTCATCCCACGGGGTCCTGAAACCCTCTCATCTCTGCCCAGAAGTCCCCAATGACCTCCCTCAACTTCGATGGCTCCTTAGACCCATCTGCCCATGGGAGTCCTGGTTAAGAGTTTCCTCCTTCCCATCTCTCCCACACACAAGCTTGCTCCAGAGACAGCTCCAGGTCCCTATGGGAGTCCAGACCCACCCAACCTGGACTCCAAGCTGGTCTCACTAAGAGCAACCTGAGGTCCCCCGTGAGGGCACCCGCATCCTGGCCACCCATCCACTCTCTTGTATCTCCGGACCACAGGACTTGGGGCCTGTGAGGCACCTCCCAAAACACACATGCATTGGACCCCCAGGTTTCCCCTCTGGCCTAGGCAGTGTGCCCCCACAACTGGCTCTGCAGATCAGGCCCCAGGACACAGTGGCTCTCTTGCTAGCCTCCTTCTTCCTGAGCCTTCGCGCAGCGGATGGGGGGTCCCAAAGCCCGGGTAGGAGCCTTCGCGCTGCCTTTCCGGACCCGCAGCTCTACTTGTGAGAGGGACCTGCAGATCTGCGCCTACCCGCCCGAGAGTTAGGAGCGTTTTCGTGGGGTCTCAGCCGACAGCCCAGGGCGGCCAATGCCGCGCCTCTCTCGGCAGCCCCCCCGCCCCAGAACTCACCTGTGCCCTCCCGACAGCTCCACTGGATCCCGGCCCGCAGCCCTCGACGTGCGCCCGGCCCGCGGCCTCCGGCGGCTCTGGCCCCGCGCCGCCCAACGCGCCCGCCGCCCCCTCCCCCGGCCGGATGGCCGCGCTCCCGGCCCAGATGTGCGAGGCCGGGGCGGGGCCTGGCTGCGCGGGCCTCCGCGAGGGGCCCAGCCCGGCCCCGCGCCCCGCGCCCCTCCCTGCGCCCCTCCTGCGCCTCGCCGCCCCGTGGCCCCGCCGCGGCCCCTCCCCCGCACGGCGGGCGGCCCGGGGGGTGGGAGAGGCAGAGGGGGGAGGAGGAGAGACGGAGGAGGGAATTCCAGACCCTCGCCGGCCTCCCGCGGCTCCCCGCCCGCCCCCAACAGCCCACCTTGGGGCTCAGCCTTGGCCAACCCATCTGCTGCTGCCAGGTCCTAGCCCTGGCGAAGGGGGTACCCTGCACCAGACCTCTCAGTCCCTTGACTCAGAACCCCACCCTTCCCACCCCTTTCCCCAGCACGTTCCCTAACTCAGCCTAGAGGGTTAGGCTAGAGGGCTGGGACTTCGCCCCAGTGTCAGAGTAGAGATGCTAGGGGTTTCATAGGCTGGGGTCTCACTTCTGGCCAGAAGACCCCTCAGAACTCATCCTGCCTCAGTGGCAAGAAGCACTCAGCCTCTTTCAAATGAGCCTCACAGCTTTCTTCCTGTCCCATCCCAGGCTTTCTTGGGGATCCCAGATGTAACCCTCCAAATAAGGGATTTGTGGGTGGAGCCCTGATTCTGCGGCAGGGGTTGGGGAGGCAGTGTAGGGGGAAGGGACCCTCATGGAGCTTCCTAAAGCAGCAGACATTCCCTGCCCTGACCTTCCTGCCCCTTCACTTCTGCCTAGTATGTCCGAAGGGTCTTCAGGGTTTCTCCATCCTCTCTTTTTGGACCGTTTCCCCAGCCCCATCAGATAAGGCTCTCACATTTTTGGGGTCACCACATTTGCCCTCTGCCACTCTACACCTTTGCAGGGGCCATTTTCCCTTCTCCTCTCTGCCCAGCCTCCCTTAGGCTTGCTGTCCTCATTATCAGGGCCACTGTCCCAGAAGGCCTTCTTAATGAGGTTAGGGAAATGGTATGCCCTGCACCAGCAGTTCTGGACGTTGATACCTGTCCCAGAAGCCAGCAGGGTGTCTGCCTCTGAGTGTGTGGCTGTACCTTGTGTCTTTGTGTCTCTGTGTGAGTGTGTTTGTCTGTACTTGTCTGTGAGTGTGTGATAGGAGTCTTTCGTCAGGGGCTGATGGTCTGAATCTCATTTGAGGCTGCACCAAGCCAGGGAGCACTGTAGGGTGAGTATGTGTGAACCTTTGAGCAGAGGTGCAAAGGGTCTGGCCCTTGGCACGTGCCTGCCTTTATCTTTTTCTCTTCCATTCCCATCCATCCATTTGCCCTCACAGCCCCCGCCCCCCATACACACACACACACACACACACACACACACTCCCAGCACCCAAAATTGACTCATCTCTGAAGGCGACATTAGCAGCCCTCCCGCAGGAGTGAAGACCTAAGGACCATTTCTGCTTGGCAGTAACTCTACCCCAACTTCCAGCCCCTGACTACAGGCCCCCTCAGTCTGATGCTGGAATCACAGGCCCCACCCTTGGGCAGCTTCCAGTCTGACACAGAGAAGGACAGCAAATGATCTCAGTGAATCCTTGATCCATGCTACAGAAAGTTCAGTTCAATTGGGCTCCAGTGTGTTTGGACAGAGGTCTTGCAGAGCCCCTGCCCTTCACCCGTTGTGCCCTTGTGTCTCTCTCCTGCTCCTCTCCAGGCCATTGCAGGCCCACCCACTGACCTCACCAGTTTCCTGCTTCTCCCTGGGTGGGGGACGCGTGAGGAAGGATTGGCCTCTGAGTGTGTCCTCCCCTGGAGCAGCCTCTCCCCAGGCCAGACCTCCCTTCTCTGGGCCTCTGCCCAGGGCCTTCCCCTCCCAGGGGATGCCCTTGCTCCAGGTCCTGCCCTATAGCCCATCTCCAGTGTGCAACTGGGGGAGACTTCTAAAGGTGCAACTCTGGCCTGCCACGTCACCACTCCAACAGGACCTACACGAGAAGGTCCAAATGATCCAAGGCATGGAATGTCCTTGGCTGATCTCCCAAACTCCCTTTCCCAGCCCTAACTTCCAACCCTCTCATGCCCTTAGGAGAAACTAGTCCCTGGAACTCTATTATAGGTTCTGTGTCTGCTCAGAGAGCCTCCAGCCCCAGGTGGAGCTTCAAGGAAACTATGTGGGTTTGGAAGTCCAGACAGGGCTCCCCTTTCCCAGGGCCCACTACATGGCAGAGCAGCAGGTAGAGGGTGAAGTTGGAAGCCATCCCTAACCCTATTGGTCCTGAAAGGCTATGAAGAATTTTGTGTCTTCTCCACCTCTTACCCAAGCCTGGCTGCTTGCTGTGTCCCACAGCCTGGGGTGGACACACAAACACACACACACACACACACAGAGGCACATGTGTGGAGTGGAGGATAGGCAAGGCTTTGTTCACCAGTGGACTCTGTCAATTGAACTGCCCTAGTCACTCTCACCACATGCATGGAAAGAAAGCCTCTTTGCTTCACTCTATGAATGAGGAAGCTGGGGCTGAGAGAAAGGAGGCGCTGCTGGGTCCAGACCTCTCAGTCTGCCTCTGAGCCTGTGCTCTTGCTGAAGACACAGTACAAAGGCTGGTGAAGAGGCACACAGCCTTTTGCATTCCAAGTTCAGGAGCCATGCTTCCCAGATGGTAGCCTGGCCCTGCCACACAGTCCTAGGGATGAGCAGTGGGCAACTCCTGGGACAGAGACCTCTACATGTTCCTTTATCAGATTCCTGAGGTGTGAGCTTCCTTCCAGGAATTAGTCTGCTTGCCCCCACCCAGATGGACTTCCTCTTGGTAGCCCACAGTCTCGGCCTCAGGCAGCATCGTTTTCCTCACTGGCCCCTTCCCACTGCCGCAGGAGCCAGGTGGCCATGGGGTCTAGGCTAGCCTTGGTGGCGCCTGCTGTCAGTGCTCTGATGGCAGCTCGTGCCTCCTACCTTCATAGAAAGAAAGAAACGGTCCCTTTTCTAGCTGGGTCACCCCACTGCCCAGTCCCAAATGGCACACAATACACCAGAATTGGACCCACCTCCAGAGCGCTGTACTTGCAGCCTTCTCTCAGTATGGTTTCAGCGTTTCCCTACAGACATAAAAAAGCCTTTCGAGAGGAGGTGTTCCCTGATCTGAGACCTGAAGAATGACTGAGAGTGAACCACATGGCGCATAGGGAAGGGTATCCCAGGTGGAAGAGACCATGCACACAAAGCCCCAGAGGATGAAGCTAGTGGAGGCAGAGTGGAATCAACACACTTGGCAGCCATGGGTGGAGGGCTGAGCTGCCCTTGTGCCCTCCCACACACACATCCTGGTCCTTTGCAGGAACCAACCCCCCCACCCCACCAAGCCAACTTGTTCCCCTTGGGTGTCTTCTGTCTGCAGTCTTAAGTCTCTATTCCTATTCTGGGAGTTCAATTTTATTGTACAGTTCCTTCACTTAGCTTGGTAAGACCTCCTCTTCTTAGCCCCTGTCCCACAGAATTGTCCCTCTGGGGTGGCGGGGTACATAAAGGAGCAAGACTAAGGGAAAATGAAATGCCGGGAAAGATGAGATCTCTACCTCAGCCATGTCAAGGTAAGGAGATTATGGGGTTGTTTGGTAGAAGATGCTGGGTACCCTACCCCAATATCTATTCTCATTTATTTTTTTTGGCAGTACTGGGGTTAGAACTCAGAGCTTTGCACTTACTAGGCAGGTGCTCTACTGTTTGAGCTACGCCTCCAGCCCTGTTCTCATTTTCTTAATGGCAGAAATCTTCAGCATAAAGACTGTATCTGTCCAAGTGTGGCTGGGCAACGTGTAATGCTAGCAATTGGGAGACTGAGGCTTGAGGCCAGCCTAGATTACATAGTGAGACACCCCCACCCCTCAAAAAAAAAAAAAAAAAAAAAGAATGTATCTTTCAGCCTCTCTTGCTGCTAGCTGTGACCAAGCAGCAAGAGACTAAGTGTGACTAAGTCTGGCTAATAAGATGAAAGCAGAAGTATCCTGTGGAATCTTCCAGAATCCTTCCTTAAAACAGCTGCTGGATACACCTTGTTCCTTGCTCCTCATCCTGCTCTGCCCCATCTTGCTGCTTGGAATGTGGATGGGATGACTGGAACTTTGACCCCTCCTTTGAAAGACACATCTGAGTGTAGCTAGATCAATGACCTGCCAGAAAACAGAGTCCTTGGAGCAGCAGGTCCATGCCAGCCCCAGCCTGGGTATTTCCAGACTTTCAGATGTAAGAGAAAGAAACTCTTTTGCTTGGGACATGTATTTTAGTCTCTGTTACTCACAGCCGAATGTAATCCTATCTGATTCGACCCCACAGGGAAATGTTGACTCCGCATTTAGTCCATGGATCTGGAACTCTGAGTGGAGTTTTGGGCTGCGGTAGAAATTTGGCTGTTATTCTCAGCGAAACCAAAGACACGAGGACGAATGAGCTCACCCAGGCAGAGAGTAGGGAAGAGGGCTGATCAGGGGCCTGCCTGCCCCCTCCGCCCACTGCACTGCCCAGTGCTGTCCATGAAAGAGGATTCTGGCTTTGTCCACTCCGATTCACCCACCCCCTCTCAACATTGCACTGGGAGGTTTCTGCCTCCCAAGAACACTTCTTGGTTTTTATGATACAAAATGAAATGGAAGGAGAATGGGAGGAGGATAGGAAGTGTCCAGAGTAGGTTGGGGAAAGTTTTTGGAAGAGTTTTCTTCTCTTTTTCTCCTCTCCTCCCCTTCCCTCCCCTTTTTTCCCAGCTCTGGGGATTAAACTCAGGGCTTCATGCTTGCTAGGCAAATGCTCTACCACTTGAGCCACACCCCCAGCCCTTTATTTTGTTTTTGAGATAAAGTCTTGCTGACTTTGCCTGAGCTGATCTCAAACCCGAGATCCTCTTGCCTCTACCTCCAGAGTAACTAGGATTACAGGAGTGTGTCACAACATCCAGCCTCAAAAGAGTTATTAAAGAGAAAATTCCAAGGGCAGCTATG